CGGAGATGGCCGCCGTCCCTGGACTCTTTCCATTCTTTCTCCCATTGAGTAAGGATTCCTTGCCTGATGTATGCTCTTTCACGCGAGAGCAGGGGAGAAAACGGGTGTGTCTTGCCAGGTATGGCTGCTTCTTTGGCCAGCCGATCGGCTGTGTCGTTACCGAGGATCTCGCTGTGTCCGGGAACCCACTGCAATCGAATTGTAACCCCGTGTGTTCTCGTATTCTTGGCTGCTTGAAGGATCGCATAGATAATTTGTTGGCCTGATTTATTGCCGCATAGATGCTGCCGCTGGTGGACGGAAGACCTACCAAATGGTAAATACCCCGCAGCCTTGCAAAGTAGGCAAATCATGCTGACCGTCCACTCTATCGTACCATCGTTTCGCCTCCTCGTAAAAATGGAGTCCTTTTGAATTGGGATCGGCAGGGTCCGCGTAGGCTTCGGGGTGATCCGAATAGAACTATGTTAGGGATTTGGTGATTAGTGACTGCAAAGATTCCATCATACGGAAGCACTTACGCATGCTTCTGTAAGAATGCAGTTCATCAGAAACGGAGAACAGTACTGAGAACTGAGATCCGCTGTCTGAGCATCGTGGAGGAAAAGGTCGCGATCAATCCAATGAAAGGCTGACTCCACGTAAGCCAGAGTGAGACCAAATATGATACAAAATCATCGGATTTGGTGACCGACGTCCAGGGCTCTGCGGGGACGTGAAAGACGGGAGGACTGGGCAGTCGCTTGATAGTCGGAGCGCGATGCAGGGAGGGGCAATGGAAGTCTATTGTGTTGGATGGCGACCGCGTGCGGTCGTACATGTCGGCCCAAAGAGGACTCTGCTGCCGATCCCCATCGGTTATGACATTTTCGATGTAGAGCTGTAATTCGGCAGGGGGTGTTTGACTGCGAATGAGACCCAGTAGCTGCAGGGCCTTGTCATCGGAGCTGTCGCGCAGCGTATTCACCAGCTGCAGCAAGAAATCACGCTCTGCTTCCAGTTCGTTAAGCTTGCGCTTGTGGGAGAGCTTCCGTCGCATATCCTCGTCCAGGTCGAAGACACACAGGGTCTGATTTTTGATGCATCGGTCACACACCGTGGTTCCCTTCCGACGGAACACTATCTCAAGTTCAACATTACTAGGAAGACATGAGTAGGGAGAAAAGGGACTACTACTTTGCATTTTAAGCGCTTGCACTCGCGACAGGCAGTTGAGGCCTTTTGTTTGGGAAAACTAGGTGGTACAGAGACATTCGCGTTGAATGGCATAGGCCTGTCAGCAGTTTCGGGACGCAGGGCGGGGGCAAGAGGCTTATGGAGCAGGAAGTCTCGGGGCGGTTGGGCACGGGACGGAATTGACATGTTTAGTTTGAGTGGGTCAGATATTGGCAGGACGAGAGGGTTCTTAAAGGAACAGCGCCTCGCCCGAACTCCAATCCAACAGCGGTGTTGACAGGCCCACGGGAGCAGGGAAAATATTATTGGATGGAAGCTACATCCATCCACACAGCAGTTGCGATTGCCGCAGGGCGACCGGTAGCGGCCACGATACAACAAGGTCTCCTAAACACTGGCTCGTCATCGGGAGCATGCAAGGAAAAGATGATCCGCGACGAATCTGGAACGTTGGATTGCGCGCAACGGTTGCTGCGCCAATTTGCCGCCTTGGCCTGTAACCACAACTACGACGCAGGATTACAGTATATTCATGCAATGAAATTCTTAGCAGTTGCGGGGCGAGTAGCTTTCGAGGATCTTCACTGAGCACAAATTGCATCATTAAGTTAAGCTTGGACCACCCTTATCAGTAATATACTAAGAAGCATAAATTTCAGACAATATTATACTCGAGTATATATTCAGTTTCTGGTCGCCAAGGTGCCTTTCTGCCTTCTTCCGGCGAAGAGTTAATAGACCCTCTCAACACCTTGATGGCTGTCTCACAGTACCATGTGAATGGTAGGGTGGGAAACGATAGTAGGAGGGAATGATCGTCTCGCAAGTACGTTGCCGGGCATCATAAGCCACGATCCCTTATCACTTTATCGGGGTGATGGGAGGCTGCAGTCGTTGTTCGAGGGTCAATCGGGCATCTAGACTGATTGAAACATTGCTGCTTGTAGCAGGCTACACTGCGCTAAAGGTTACACGGGAGCCGGAATGCGCTACCATACTTGATTCATTCCCCAACAACCACGGAAGGGTGCCTCAGGCTAATGACATTAGTGGCCGGCGACTTCCAATCTTCGCTCTCCTTATCTGGCCACCAGATTACTTCATAGCCGTTCCTACGCCACCCCTAATTCCTGATATGTTGTACAAATAGTTTCGCCCTCACCCCCGCTTTGTGCGATGGAGGACGCGCTAGTGTCGTATCCCTTTGGTGTCGCGGCACCCAACGAAACTTCCTTTATCTTCGCGCCCGAAAATTCGGCCGTTGGAGAAATCACCAAGCAGCCCTGGGTCCCGAGAGTCCAAGGAAGGATATTCCCGTGTCCTTTCGCCCGTCTTCTCTGCTGGGTTTCATGAACCGACCGGGCTCATATCCCTATCCGTCTTCATCGTCTTCATCCCGCGAAGTACCGGGCTCAGCTGGCAAAGTTGCTATTCCCCGCATAACGTGCGCCAGCAGCCAGTCGCAAGTCCGGCGGTGCACAAAAGCCTGTGGACCATGTCAACAGCGGAAGACCAAATGTGACGGGAACAAACCGGTCTGCCGGCCGTGTGTAGACCACAATGTCAGCTGTTTCTATACAGATGTTAAGCGGGTCCGCGACCGCAAGCAGCTATCGGTTCTGCAGCGGAAGGTCGAGCAATATGAGCGGCTGTTACATGATTTGGAGGAGGTCGACGGGGATGTGGCTAGGCGTATTCGAACAGCTCTCAGGGTAAGTCTCAGTGCGTGGCCATATGTCTCCTTGTCTCAGGCTCACTGCCTAAATCAAAAGGGTTCCGATACAACGTCTGCTACTACCGATAAGGACGGCGGTTTCGACTCAGCGAACTCCTCAATGGGGTAGCTGAACGGGCTCGACTTAGTCCAGGAGGACTTGAACCGAAGCGAGAAGTCAGTCGCTACCGGATTCTTTGGAAAGAACTCGGAGGTAGCGTGGATGCAGAGGCTTGAAGACGAAGCAAAGAATCAAAGCTGGAGGAAAGAGGAAAAACTGGATTCCGAGGCCAGGGAGACTGCCAGGATCCGACTGCCACTTTCATGCTCGCAGAATCAGGGAACAGAAATATCAGCGATTAGTTTTTACTTGGACGATATCAGTCTTCCGTTGTTGGAATCGGTTGATCCGTACGGACTTCCCTCGAAGGGTCTCGCCAACCAGTTTTTCATGGCGTACATGGAGTCGGTCCATCCTTCATTCAACGTTGTCCGGAAGACGGCCTTTATATCCCAGTACCAGCAGTTCTTCAGTCAACCGGCCCAACCCTCACGGCGTTGGCTGGCCATTTTAAACATGATCTTCGCTATTGGGTGCCGGTATTCTCAAACCGTGAACGGCCGAACTGATGGCGATTATGGCGATCTCGTCTATATGAATCGGGCGCGGAAACTGGCCCTGGGTAAAACTCATTTCTTTGAACATGCCGATCTTCAGCAAATACAGGTTGAGTTCCTGATGGCGCTATATCTCGTTAGCAAACATCAGATCAATAGGCGAGTGAACACAACAGCCGGTGTTCAAGGGGATCCACGCTGACACGACTATGCTGCAGAGCATTTATGTTCTCCGGTATGGCATTCCGGTCCGCCATATCGCTAGGAATCAACCTGCGCTTTGTGGATGATCGCACGCAATATCCCGCCAAAGAGGCCCGCATCCGGCTGTGGTGGTCAATATTCCTCCTCGAGCATCTCCTTACGGCGATCACTGGCCGGGTCTCTTGCGTGGGTGAAAGCCTCAGCGCCACGCCACTGCCCATCCCGTTCGAAGAGGAGGCCTTTGGCAGGCCCGACGTCCTGCCTCTTTTCCAAGACTCCGTATCACGTATGAACCAGGAGGAAGCGCGTGCCAGTGTGTCCTGGCTCGCGTCCTGTGAACCCAGCCCGTCACTGCTCTTTCACTGTATTGTGGACCTAGCTGCCATCGGGCAGGATATCATCAACAACGTTTATAGTATTCAAGCTCTCAACGACTTTGACAGCCAGATTGAGCAGCAGATCCGAAAATATAGCAGTATCCTAGACATCTGGCTTAGCAAGGTTCCCGAGGCCTACCGATTCACCTCGGTGAACAGCGATGAGGTAGACATTTCGAGTGACAACAACAGCCAGTGGGAGCGAGAACGCATTTCCCTAGCCATGAGCTACTATAGCACCCGCATCATGCTTTGCCGCCCGTGCCTCACGCACACTGGTTCGCCACTAAGCACTCGGTCTCCTAATCCAGCAGTTGCCCAGCCTTTATGCCCGACCTCACGCCCAAACTCCAGCAGTCGCACGCAGTTCCGCTCCAGTATCGCTCTCATGTGCGTTCGCTCCGCCCGCTCCCTCCTTTCATGTCTTCCCCAATCACCGAACATCATGTGGATCACTGCAATGACGCCTTGGTGGTGCATCCTCCATTACATTACGCAAGCGACAATCGCTATTCTTTGTCATCTTTCCAGCTAGCCACCTGGGCCCAGCGAACACCCCGCTCATCCCGTCTTCTTCGATCTAGGGAGCACGGTCAGGGAGATTAAGAAGGCCATGCGCTGGCTCCACCACATGGCATACAGAGGTGCGGTTTCAGAACGCGCATTCCGGCAGTGCAAAAGCATTTTGCGGCGTATTGCCCCGAGCCTGGGTATTGACCTCAGTGATCTTCCCGATTGCAGAGACTTGCCTAATGGTGAAATGCATCACACTTGATTGGCAGTGTTGACGAACGCAAGGTTAACAAAGTTCAATCTGCCCCGAATGGTTCAGCACAACATTGAAATGACCCCGCCTACGTCACGACCGAGCCTTACTGGATAGGAAAATTGTTGTTCCATAGACTCGGTGGAAGCAGGGAAATTACATTCAGCTGGAACTCAGGAGTACTCTGTGCCAAGAAACAAAATGGATTCTGGACGTCTGCAATGCGCAATAGATAGCTAGCAACACTTCCCAGGCACCTGTATACATAGTTTGGTTTCCAGTAAGGCTTTTCCCATATTGACTAAATATTCGCAGACTGTTCTTTCATCCGCTGCCCTTGCGTGTTGGATTCAGACAGTTGAACGTCGCTAGATTTAGGTATGGGAGTCTGAAGACGTTCAGATGTTGACAGATTGCCCTTTTCTACGACACGTGATCCAAGTCCCCCACGACTCAAGCGTCTAGATCTCTGTGGGCTTTACGCTTCTTGTACATAAGATGGGGTTGTAATTTGGAAGGAATCACAAGATAGATCGGTGTCTGCTAAGAATCTCGCCCTACAGGCCCACCATAAAAAGATTAGTACGTGTTAGGTTTTGGAAAAGGGAAGCAGGGAAGGATCCAGAGTAGGCAGGGTGGTTGTGCGAGGAAGCACGGAGCTTAATTCTATGGGTTTATAGGGACATTTATCTGAGAAAATGCCTAGAGACCAGTAATGGGATAGAGCCCAAATGCTCCAGCACTTAAGTGCTCCAACGTCCGAATCCTCCAGCGCCCTCAGTGGCTCCAGAGCATCACCACCGAGCTAAAAGACGCAAAAGTGCAGCTTGACATAGGCAGACTCCTGGATTCTGACCCCTTATTGGCCACTAGAGCGTGTAAGGATCCGAGATATAAACAGCCAGATCTCTAATGCTTTTTCAGAGCTACATAACAGAGTCTGCTAAGAGAAGAATAAATGCCGTTCACTATATCGATCTTTAAATAGGTGATAAGATATACCGACAGTCACATGGCCTGCCGTAGACCTCGCGGACCTGTTGAATATCACGGTGGCTGTGATGAGTATTATGGTGGCTAAACCTTATGGCAGTGATGGGACCAGATATATATATGTGCTATCCTGCCCTTGTAAAACATAACTTCTTAAGGAACCAATAATCAATCAAGCCATCAAAATCTGGACACCAGAGCTCCAATACCTGGTGTTCTCAATACATATCCCACCAATCGAGATGCACAGGGCGTTTGAAGCCAGATCTCGCATTACTTACCCCGCAGCAGCTTACCGCTCATTTACACGCAGAGCATTCCATCCTCAACCTTTGCATCAGCCTTGAATATCCAATATGGCATGCCCACTATCCCAAAGAAGTCTATTGAGCAGGCACTTCTTTATAGCTGCTCGTGCTTCTTCATTTAGATATATCAGATTCTGGGCCACTTTTATGATAAAACTGAGAGCCGAGGGGCTGAGCCGTAGAATAAAATGGTTCTCCATTAGAAACTCATATAGCTTCTGTGAGCAGCCTCTCCATGTGTCTTTGCTCTTGCATAGAGCTTCGTTCAGTACTGTTAGTTTGTCGGGGAAGGAGTGACCGAAATCCGGGCACAAACTGTACAGAGACTCCTGAACTATCACAGAAAGTATAAATAAAGAGAGTAGCGCGTGATCTTGAATGCTGGGTGACGCGTCTGTCGACACATCCGCTGGCATCGCCAGGAACATTACAGTTTCATGAATATCAGGATAGATCTGTAGGCTTCGGAAGGTCCTCGGCTTATACTGGTTTAGTCGAAGCTCCATTGCTGGATGCACAGCGGCCGGATAGAAGTATTCTGAGATTTCCCAGACATGCGCTGCTGAGGAACGCCTTGAAGGCTCTGGCAGAGAGAATGCACTAAGTAGTTCCCAATGCCAGTTAGTACATATAAGCAGCTGGTAGAATATGACCGTTGTTACCACTCACAGGAAGAGAGCCATATGAAGACGCCAACTCGATCTGAAACTCTCTACTCCGCCCCTTGCATTTATAACACCGACAAGGCCGTTTTCGTGGGCACGCCAATAGTCGTCAATTACCCAGTATTTCTGAGTTGTGGATAACAAACCCAGGTGAGCATTCGGATGCATTCATATTGCATTTGGCCTAATAACACGTACCTCGAACATCAAAAGACGTGCAATCGCCAAAAATAGTCTCGTCCTGTGTCGACCTCTCATCCGCAAGCCATTTTGCAATGATTCCCACCGCCAGCATTCTAAATTTCTCCGATTGTATGGTATTTGCCTGCCCTTGAAGATGTGCGACATGTGCTGCTGCATGTGCCATCAGAGCACAAAACGAGGCACTGTTAGAGAGATCCAAAGGTAACCAAACATCTCGCACGGGGTCGAACCCTGTACTGTGCGATAATTTGGGGCCAAAGCTTGCATGCAGATCGAGCCCTACCAAAATCTATCATTAGTTGTCTGGACATTATTCATGCAAATAATGACTCACATGATGAAAAAGTCTCCTGGTCTTGGGTAGACAGATCGATTGGGAACTTGGGGCGAGGTCCCTGAACGATCGAATAATGCTGCCTATGGCGTACATCTACGTCTGAAGCCGGAATCATCACGTATAAGAACCCTGATTCCCCCTCACACTCTTGAGCATCCAGACTCTGTGCCTCAGGCCCATTCTGCTGACATCCTCTACTATGTGCGCCATAGTATATCGGCAGTAGTGTTCTCGGTTGAGTTCGAGGTATCTGAGCGACGCTTTGAAGGGCTTCATGCCTTCTTCTCCAGAATTGCCGCATCGCATGGCTGCGCACGCCTGGTTGGTCTGTACTGAACACAAAATGGTACCTAGTTGTTGCTAGATCAGAGTCTCGGTCTCTGTTCATGTTGCCGCTACCGATAGATAGATCATGCCCTTTAGAGCTCTTAACGGGTGGCTGCCGGAGCCAAATAAGTCTAAGGATATACCATTGTAGATTTCACGGCATGGTATTGGTTAAGAATGACTGGGAATTGGCTCGAAGCTTCTATAGGAGGTAGAGACAGGATTGAAAATTGCACGGGTGACGTGGTTTGATCTAGATTTATGGTAATGAACGACACTTTGTGCACATCTCTTGTGGGCCGGGAATCGAATGCTTCCTGAGTACTCCGGGCAGCTGAAACGCACGAGATGATCATGGAAGGCACTTTAAGGTATCGCTGCAAGTTCTCTTGCCTTCTTCAACGGGGTGGACTGTGGTCGTGGTCTGGGTGGCCGAGCTCAGATATGGCTGATAGCCATAGCTCGGGTATGTTGGCGCGCTCGATGACGAGATTACTGCAATACGTACGCCTACTGGTGGTCTTGGCTGACAGAATGTACTAGATCCATTAGATCCAGATTGAAAGGAAAGGTCGAGAAAATCGCTATATGCAGGTGTTTGGGTCACAAGAGCGAGCTGACGAGTATTTCGCAGTCTTAGAGAGGGACCTCAAGAATCTGCACTAATGAACTCTCACCACCCTGACTAGCCCCAAGAGCCACCAGTGTTGCCCCGATTGGCCGAGCAGTGGTCACGTCATTCCGTAACGTCCAGTGAATAGTCCACTCCCAGATGCTATGTGCCCCCAGTGCCATTCCGTCGGGCCCTGCCAGAACCCAAGCGCAACTACAGCTGGTCTCGTGAATCCAGCTCACGTGGACCTCGGCTCGGGCAGCACCTGGTGGGGATCGTGTGTTCGGTTCACTGTTACAGTGGACACGGAATATCACCAATAAGACATGCAGCTTCGAAGATGTTGGATCCAGCGGTCCTACAATTGAGTTCCACGCGCTTCCATGGCAGCTGCTGGGGGTTGGACATGTAGGCGAGAAAGTATGTTTTATCAACCCAGAAGGTCAAAGGTCACAGTTCCTTATTTAGCCAGTCCTTTTGGCCGAAAGATATATCCGTCATCCCAGCTGCAATAGCAGGGAGATGGTGCATTGGCTAGTTCACTGGCCGCGTACTAGGGCGCTCGCTTAATCTACCCTGCGAAATCAGCATCATTATCTCCAATTTCAAGATCGATCGCGCGATCGTGTGACTGTTCGAGTTTAGTTTCAAATGAGCCTCTTGGCCCTAAAATATCTTCTGACTTCTGGTGAGCTGTCATATCCCAACCTTAATTAAGGGTCCTGGTCGAGTTACTACTGCTGTCCAAAATCCCCCGATACTGGGTTTTGCAGAAAATGTTTTACAAGCCGTGTAGGAGCATTCATCTAGAAATGTTAGATTGCATCCAGGAATGTTTTCGGAACCAGTACAAGGTTGGATGACTCCCAGGAGCGTAGAAGGAGGGATTCGGACTGAGTCTCCCGACGGCCGAACGAGTCGACTTGGGCCTGCTGCAATGACGGAACGTGCGTGTTTGGCCGTCGTACGTGTCACTCAGCCTACCCCGCAGTACCGTTCGACTCTTTGCGCGGATTGATGTCATTTGGGCTCTAAGCATGCCATCCTTTGGGTACTACCAGGCCGAAACTTATATGCAGCCACAACATACTTCAGACCACGTGGGCTATTCACATACTCGCTGCTTGGCTCTCAAGCTCCAGAGCGGATTGTTTCGTTGACTTGGCAGATGCTTCACAATATGGTCATTTTTCCAGAGTATGTTTGTCAGGTACGTTGGTGTTCATGTTTAGCTCACTGTGTAAGACGAGTACAAGGAGGTTCAGGGGCATTTATCATGGCTTTGCGGAGCGAGCTCTACAGAAACCCTTTCCCACTCAATGGACTTAACATTACAGGCCACGAGAAATTACGATCGTGCCATAAAATCTCAGTACGGTTTGCCTTCAAGTTAGGTTCTGGTCATCGGTCCTCGAGTTCAATGTTAACGCGGTTTTGAATACAGGAATAACAATTCCGCCCAGCATACACTTTCCCTTGGACTCAGAAGCACAGCTAGTCTCAACCCTCATAAAGATGTCATTCTCAACACCTCTATAGCCACAAAATATTCCTCACCTTCGATCCCAACGTGTCTCTCAATCAATCATCTCCCTTCTTAAACCCAACCACCAGACTCCTTCAGCGGCACAGAACTCCCCTAGCGACTATGCGACGTCCCATAAAGCGGCATTTGCCTGGGAAACTGGGAGAGCCTTGGCAACGGGGCATGTCGAGCGGTGGGGTACGTGGGTGAGTTGCGGGTGAGTTGCGGGTGATTACTGCATCGAAGGGACGATAATCACTAGGAATTATCCCGAGGACAATATTCCACGTTTAAGTGTTTCGTGCCCTCCCTCCTCGTTCTTGTAGCCTAGCAGTGCTGTACGCCTTCCGCACAGCGGGCTATATACTCACCTGGCAGACGTCGGATCAGACAGGATCGTGGCCTGCGGGAAGCTTGGCCCAGTCCTATCTCTATCAGCACCCCACCCTCTCCGAGCATCATTTAGACAACCCGAGCCCTCTAACGACGCGGGTGATGAGGTGAGCGGCCCCCACACGAGTTGTCAGTCCACAGAACCACAGTCGGACAACACAGTCGGCTCAGTCGAATTAGGGTCCGATTTGACCGTCCAGTCCCCAGCCGAACGGGAGAACCGTAGTAGGTATGAGAAAGAACATGAAGTTCTGTCTCGGTTGTTGGTTGCACCCCCGATGATCGATCTGTTGTGGCGGTTAATATACCACATTTCCGGTCGCACGAGGCAGTAGGCACAAGGCGAGACCGATACGTGGCCGCAAAGGGGATCGCCAGCGAGATTTCCCGGCTGCGGGGGCATCCCAATGCGCCTAGTGTCCTTTCTATTGGCCGCTAAGACAAAGCCACACAACCTCTAACCTACCTTGGCCAAGCTTCCTGTAGATCGCTTATCGTCCGACTGTAGGACTTCCTTCATGGTGTCGTACGCTGTCGTGCAGCGCAAGGTACCATGTTGGTGGATAGTAGTTTCAAATTTAGCTATGCATTGCGTGTAGATGGTACAACTGTGGTCTGAATACGCGGCAGTGCACCTCTGCTCTTCCAAGTCTTCATGCTGTGACCAGATTATCCCATCTTCTAAGACAGTGCCGGATCTGGAGATCTCCTCATGAATTTGCTTCATTGTGTTCAAGGTTGATGCGCCTATTGATCTTGTATGTATCTTGTGGAGTGGCAGAAAACCGGTTATGCCCGACACTCAGGGTAGCTGATGTTGGTCATTGTATGTGTATGTATCGACGCCCACGAAATTTCGCGAATCTCACGTGACCTATAGGATATGTGGGAAGCGATCGATTGTTCTCCTCTCCTACTGGGTGGCCGTTAGGCCAGCGATTATGTGTATCTGCTTACTAAGCAATGACTAAGCGAGGTCAACCCCAGGGCAGGCGGAAGGGGACGTCCGTATGTTCCGACACCCCCCCTCGAGCGAGCGAGTCATCATGAAAAGAAATCTAAATACATGATTACTTGTCTCCTTGATGAAGACCAAGTAGTTGAACAAAATGAGCGTGTGCTTCTGATCCTAGTGGCTTCGTACAGCCATCCGCGTCCAATTCAGCTGTAGGGATCTGCTTGATCTGGATGATGCCTTGATCAACCATATCTCGTGTGTAGTGATATCGAATATCAATATACTTTGATCGCTTGGGCTACATATCTGATGTCGTAAGGTCAATAGCACCTTTATTGTCCAACACATTGAGATACTAGGTGCAGGCGATTCATCGAATAATCGAAGATCCTTCAAGATTTCGCGGATCCAGTTGGCCTCTCGCGAAGTCGCTGATGCAGCAATGTACTCAGCTTCTTTGGAGCTGGTCGCTACGCATGTTTGGCGTTTGGCTTGCCAGCTATTGGTGCTCCTGCAAGTTTGAAGACATATCCGTTTACTGATCTGCGAGCCTTAAGATATGAGGCCCTCCCCAGTCAGAATCACGGTAGGCTTCTAGAGGTCCAAAGGTAGCCGTAGCTGTAGGATCGCGTTGATATTTGATCCCAAGGGTGCGCGTGCTTGATAGGTACGGCTCCTTGTACCTCTTATGCAAACCCAGCTGACGTCTGGCCGCAGACGCGTAATGTTGGTCCATGTAGAGAATCGGGGGGAGCCGGTCCTGGAGTTTTAATACTTTGAAGGTTGATGTCTCAAAAAAAGTGCTGGGAGCGTTCTTGACAGGGACTTTCTGTACACCAGACACGTGGTTAGCAGATACAGGAGCAAATATGCACATTGTCAATGACACCAAATGGTGCAAGAAGGACACCTTCCGGTTATGTGATATAGTAATCAGCACCGCAGATGATTCCACTATTCTTGAAGTCAAGGGTGGGTGCGTTGTTCAGCCCGTCTTCAGAAGCCCTGATGGTTTCCCAGTAACCGTATCCCTGTTGGAAGTAGCCTATGCTCCTCGGAGAGAGTGCAATTTATTCCCAGGGAGAATGTTTGTCAATAAGGCAAAAGTAACTGGCCTCTACAGCAACCAATACATGACATGGATCAATAACAAAGGCCACACGATCGGACATGCCAGTTTTAGAGGAGGCCCTTATCTCCTCAACGCTAGTGGGATATCCGATGGCCTTGAACTCACAAATGCTATAGCGGCCACAGTCAGGTTTGATGATCCCGTGTGGAAATGGCATCGGAGACTGGGTCGTCTCGGGTTTCAGAACGTGTTGAACTTGCTGAATTCGTCTACAAACATCACGGCGAAACAGATCAAGGCTAAACTCAGGGCTGTGTGCCCTGCATCACAAGATTAAAACCCGAGCTTCGAGCTGATGATCAATCTCCGCCGGTGGGAAACCCCCATCTTCTATGTGCCTGCTGCCGCCCCACATAGGCCGGCGCTCAGATGATCCCCGCACCCACATTCAGAGCACTGACATCCCGCACGCTACGGGCGACATGCTACTGAAACCGCAACCGTCTCCGTAGGTATAGGTGGGTCGCTGGTTAAAGAGAAACTTCATTACACTGAGACTGACTACCACTAAGTCAGATAAATTAGCCACTTACAGTTACCAAAGAGACTAGCAAAGAACCTTTCTCCTTGGTCGTGGTCATACACCATTGATTAGGTTTGGTCACTGCTGTGATCTTATTGCCGTTCAACATGGCTGGCTGGAGACCAGTCAGTAACAGTTGGACAAGAACGGCTTCACGCTCTGCTCGCCAACCCAGAATATGAATCAGCGCAGTAATCCCAGGTAACATCAATGTCATACTGCGCTGGGCAATGGTCCCGCTTATGTGGCTGGTTATAGTACCAAGGGAGGATAGATGGGGTAGCCTATGCAATGAGCGAGAGAATTACGTCGGGGGAGGAAAAAGTTGAAGTGCTGTGTAAACAAGGGCTTCTAGGCTATGGGGTAAGTCACTCATTGGAATTTTAGATGGAACCGAACGTTATCGCCGGTCATCTTGTAAAAAACAACTCTCCTCAGCTCAGAACGAATTCTTGGAATTTCTCGGTTTTTTGGAGCCAATTGATCATAAACCTGGTTCTATCTATTGACTAGGCTTCTGGCTATCGCCCAATATCCAGAAGTCATGGTTGTTGGAACTATTTGGCCAGTGTCAGGGACCCAACCCCTGAACCACCTCGAACATGCCACGCAAATCATAGCCGAGGCTACAGCACTGCTAGAGCTCGACAACACCAAACGCGCCAAACTACCAGCCCCGTCCGTGGATGCCTTTCTCAACAGCGTAATTACCTTAGCTAAGGAATCCTACGAGCAACCATCCGGATAGGAGATATTGGGCAAGCTAAACAGCCTACTGCCGATCGTAGAGATTATCACCCTCATCAAGGATGCCGTCAACAAACCTACATGCTCGCATCGCCCGCTCCCATCGCACCCAATGCAGCTACTCGCATCGCCTCCTGTACGCCTTAGTGTCCACCTTATGACACCCTCTGTGGCACAACTGTAGGTCTATCATCCAATCCCCTTCGTACAATCGGGAAAAATACTCGGACTGTTTGTAGATTACTAGTCGATGGACTTTAAACGCTTGGTCTTTGGTGTGGATAGTCAGGTCGGAGAATGCCTATGATAGCACCCTCGCGGCAATTCGTTATAGAGTCTCGGTGGATCCTGACACTCAGATTTGACCCTCGATACTGTGACGAATTGGACACAGTCTGATATTCACTGACTGATATTTGCACTGTTTGTACATAGCCTGCCTCAGTGCCTATCTCCCCGCACACGTCTCGCGCCCTCACAACACTTTCTCCGCTTTCTCATGCTTGAAATTCTAGCTAAGATATGTTCAATATCACCATATTGCTTGGCAGTCAGAGTTACACAAGAGCAGCTAAGTGATCACGGAGCTCCTGCCCAATTACCCAGGCATAACAAAAGACATTACAAGGCTCGTTTGTAGGATGTCAGCTATAATAATGTCCTTTGGCTTATTTCTTTTTAGAGACATGAAATTCAGTGCCGTCGCACGTTAAGAAACAGGGGAAAGCCACAATCTACAGGAGGACAAATCCTGGAACAAGGCGCCCCTCCTGACATGTGCTTTACTAGATGACAGCTAGGAAAAATGATCAAGTATCTTGGATAGGAAGTATTGGCCAGTTTATCCCTCCATTGTTCTCGTGGGTCTGCGTAAGATGCGCGAAGAATGGCCGGTGGTGTTGGTAACTCCGGTTCGGATACTCATCCATGATGGTGGGTAGATTCTGGACGGGGATTATGTATGAATAGAGGAGGCCCCTGGAAGCAGTTGACTATATTTCGAAGGGATGTGAAGTAAATCATGGAAAGAATTGAAAGCCAGTTTAGGATTAAATCTCATATGTGGCACGGCTATTTGATATTTTGGAGAACTATAGCATTGATTTAGGATTACTGCGAGGTGAGCTCGTCAGGGTGGGGCGGTCAAACTCAACCCAGTGTAACCTTGCTAGTTACAGGGTTACACGGATCTGACATCGGTAATTCTACCAACGTTTTCGGCTTCCGACTGCTACGTTCCATGTGTACAGTATACTTCTAGAACTAACCTTCAAGGACGTCGTTAGCTATAGAGATATAGCGCGGTAACTAGTGAAGCTCTAAAACAACGTCCGGAATTCGGCTAGTTGGAGAGGTTGCAGCCTCTACAACCTGCATATATTTAGAACCACCAATCCGACCGCAAGTTTGGTGTTGATAAGCTCAATAGTAGCTTGACTTTTCTAAGGAAGAAGAAAAAGAAAAACGTACCGCTTGCATGCATTGCATTGCTGGTGATGACATGTACATGAAAACAGGCAACTTCGTTTGAATTCATGACGTATGATACTTGTGACAACCCACTATCTGAACTGGTGATGTAATTAACTACTCCCCCGTATATGATACATCATCATATGTCGAGAATAGTCTTCCGCACGATCCAGTAAAACTCTGGGTCTGGGTTGGGTTTTGAGTCCAGTTTTTCAACTGAGTAATGGGTCTAGATCAGACTTAGGTTACTACTGGGCCTGGGGCCCCCTAATTAGTCTATTTAAAAAGAGCAATATGACGAGGGACTCAAATTATATAACTTATGCATTCTTTTGCAATGAATTTGAGTTTTAGCTCTACGGGATTTATTTAGGAAATAAGTATACAATATATACAGACATCTCTAAATTACAACCTTCTGACCATGTCAAGAACAAATCGAAGAGTATGTGTTGTGTTTAAGGATAGAGATACTACATGGTAATTTGGGAAAAGAACAGTGCAGCAACAAGCAATCATGCTGAAAATCCTGTTAGGTCTTAGGCCCCATCGGGGATCCTTCACTCAATGCGTTCGGAACCAGACTAGCTGCTTTGGATGCTTGCTCTGGTGGTGCCTGCTGATTGAGAAGAATGTTATTACTTTTCTCACTTCCTTTCCCCTAGGTCCTCCTTCCCGCACCCCTTTTTGGTCTTCTTTGGATCTGCTGGTGATGATAAGAGGGGATAGTAATACGAAGAAATATTGAAACAAGATAGTCGAGTGTTTCTATCTCTTGCCCATCACATCTCTCTTCATTTTCTCTATTGTTCAGACGAGATCCTTGTTCGCAGCAACTGTATTGTGTATTAATATGGAAGAAAGGACACATTAATCGAACTATCCCCCAAGAAGTAAACAATCAAATAAAATCCCGTTAAGGATATCGGTCCGTCAGGGTGGGTATGTTCTCCATGGTAATTTTTTCCCGGCGTTAAGTCGACCCCGCGCTAGCCAGACCGGGCACTGGACTGGTCTGGATACGTCTCCCAAATCCCGGCTTGTTTGGTCCCCATTTTCGCCCATCAGTCATTAATTTTCATATTTACCTCTATTCCGAGCCAGTCTCTTCATTTTTAACGAACAATAAAAAGATCTTCCTTCCCGACTTTCCAAACCCCTTCCCTTCTTCACACGACTTCTTGCTCCTCCCGTTGATTTGTTCCAACTCCTGTCTTCCCTCACCATCGCCGCCGCTCACGACTCGACTTCCCCGAATTTTAGCACTATATTCCCCACCAAACACCTTCCAACTCCGCTTCCGCCCGGCAGTCTATCCCTCATCCCCTCGAAATGTTGCTCTGCGCGCGCCGGCTCTTTACCATCCCCGCTGCCACTCAACTGCCGTCCATGGCTCTCTGAATTGTCATTCCGCCAGATTTTCATCGCGCCATCAGTAGAGCTAGTTCTCTCGTCTTGTGTACACCGCGTGAGGCCGTGTTGGTCTGCGTGAAAGATCATGCGGTTGTTTGACTAAGTTCTAATCGCAAATCACCATCCTACCCTACTCTGTCGATTCTCATTGCTGTGCCTGCGCTTTTATTCTTTTGTCTCAGCACCTCATTCGATCTGAAAGAATATGACTACTGAATAAAACACTGGTGGTCAATGCAACCTGACGTGAATTACCTTTCGACGATCGTCAAACAGCCAACGCGGGTGGTACCCGTTGAGCATCATTACCACTGTCGATCTTCCAGGACCACCCCCGTCGCAGGCTCAGATCGCCGATCGCGCGATCCGATCGCCCCTCCTGGATCCTCCAAACAATGCAGGTGGGCCTGTCTGGCAGTCGATACTGGACCCTTGGATCTGACTTGGTCGCCTTCCAAGGACATCTTTCCAGCAGCTTAGCCACCCCCTCTCCAGTGGTGGTAGTAGATGATCTATTCCCTTTATCTTCTCGCGCGAGACATCCGCCAAGCTGGCTGCCCTCCCCTCCAGTCATGGGGACGGCACCCGAGGCGCTGACTACCCCACAGCCGTTGGACTCGCGTCGTCCTGCGGCCCCAACTCTGCCTAGCTTTGAGCTTCCTCCACCTAATTTTCACACAAACGTCAAGTACGCCCATCACACCATCCCTCCGCCTATTAAGTCCAGCGTCAGCAATATTCCTACTCCGCCAGCCATCACGCAGTCTACGACCTCGCCCACGGCGACCACTACCGCATCCGCGAACTTGAAGTTGGCTCCGTACTGGCAAGGCCAGAACTCATACCAGAGTGGCTCAGGGGCAGCAGCAGCATGTCAGTCGCAGAACTCGAATGTGGCTTCTTATTCGAGCCGAGACGCTTTCTCCCCATTGGTGAGTCCTCCGAATCGCAATCCTGCCACGTCGACACCGAGTATGGAGCACATCTCCCAGTCATACGAGATAACTCACCTGTCCCCGTTCCACCACTCTACTCCTATCTCAGCTGCTTCAGTTCAGTGGGGCGCTCTTCAGCAACAGCAGCATGCGATGGTGCATGCCACGTTGCCAGCACCCAACCCATTGCCAGATCCCGCCTCTTCACCGCACGCCCTTCCTTCGAACGATCCCTACATGGTCAAATCCTCGTCTGCCGCCGCCTATGGTACTGCCCAGCAAAGTCCCAACCCACCAGGCGCCTATTCATCATACGGACAATCAAGCATTGTCCCGAACCGGGTAGCATCGAATTTGCAACCATCGCATCATCTGAACTATCGACAGCAGCCATGGCCATCGTATACACTTCCGGCGATGAACGGACCCATTTGTACTAACACACAAAGTCCGAACTGGCAGATGTCACTCACTGGGAATGGGAACCTGCAGTCTGGGGCGCTGCCTGAGCTGCCAGTGTACAACAGTGAGCACGTGGTTGATATGCCGCACATGCAGCAGCTATACAGAGGCCACCCGCCACATCCGAGTCACGGCGCACCAGGTCCGACCAACGATCGACCGTTCAATTGTGACAAGTGTCCGCAGGGTTTCCACCGCAATTATGATTTGAAGCGACATAAGCGCATCCACCTGTCAGTGAAGCCATTCCCGTGCACACACTGTGGCAAGAGCTTTTCGCGGAAGGATGGGCTGAAGGTGAGACTCTGCTTGAAACTCTTGTGTCTTTTTACAAATCCCGTCTAAATGGTATGCAGCGACATATACTTCTCAAAGGTTGTGGGAAAGACGGCTCGGATGGCACACTGAAGCCGAGAGAGCACGGCGGGATAAAAGAAGAGGATCAGAGTGATGAAACAAATGCGCACCACTGAGATCAGGATTGGCGTTTATCGCATGTGCAGGAGTTGATGGAGGGTCGATAGTGTATCTGATTAACCGGCTTCTCTCCAACAGCGAGTTTGTATCGACTATGATTTATATTGAAGCAGGCGGGCAAGCTGGGACCGCATTGTTGATTGTTTGCTCGTTACGGAGACATCAGCGTTGAGCAGCTTGGTTTATGTATATGTATGTGATCAGTAATGACGCAAATTAGCGCTCTAGAGTCCAGCATGAAGGAACAGAAGCAGTGAAGTGAGGATATCGAGGGGGCCGTGGACCAAATCCACCGGTCCCTCTATGGTAGCGGCACCAAAAGTGGCGTGACGCGCGGCAAAGGCACTAGATCTTGACAAAGACAAAATTTGCTGGCGCTGCGAAATCGGGTATCTAATGGCGGGTCTGTTCTTGTCTCTGATCCTAAGTTGACATGGGGAACGCTTCCAGGACCAGGATATGACCGGGAAGATTGGATGGGAAGTGTATCGAGCTGTCTTTAAGGAAAAGTATGGAATTAGAAAACCGATTTCCTGTGAGCTGGGCAAACTTCCGGTTGGATGTAATCTACCCTTGGATTTTGATAATCGCGACGCCATATGCAACCTTATTTTAACCGCACCAGCGGTCACCCGCACCGCATCAGCTCACCCCCAGACATCATCTTGAGCGTGCGTTCGATATTGGATGTGCTCGTCAGTGGACAAGTATTTCCATCAATTTCTCACTACTGCAGAGGCGACCCGGATTTGTGCGCGGTTCCACAGGACCACCTGGCAGCCAGGCCACCAGGTGATGTGGAGCGGGGTGCTCGTAAGACGGCGCAGCAATGGGCAGATGCACGTGAGATGCAGACACTAACCACGGCGATGGGTCCTCTGATGATCCATGACCATCCGAGATGCCCGCATTCCCGTTAGTCAAGCACAAGTGAGCGAATATATCCATGTTGTGTCGGCTCCTTTGGTCTACCATATTGCACGTGATAGAGGGAAGGTCACCGTCTTGACACCACCGCCACCGGAAGGTTAAACCCGCACGGGGAGACAAACTACCAAGCGATAGAGGAGCCGATCCTGAAGGGGACGCTAGGCTCTTGCCATGTCGGGAAAATCGAGCTAGTGCACCTTACGGCGTCAGGAGCCGAAGAATTCAGTTATGAAGTATGGCCGGAGGACGAGATTAAGTCCTGGAAGGTGGAATTCGCCATAGCTACCGACTCTGCTCCTCGCCATCACTGGAGGCATCCAAAGCCGAAATGGGCAAAGCTATACAAAGTTTGTGGAGAAAATGTGCATATGTCGATCCCCGATTTGGCTGACCAGTTACTCGTGGCAGGAGGGTTTCCTACGCCCAAGGAGGCAAGTTCGGATCAGAAATGATTTATTCGTCAGCTATCTGGCTGGGTCAGAGGCCGGCTCAGATCGCCATCGAAGAAAGAGAAATCCCTTGCAGGAGAATGATGGCGGATAGTATCTGTCAGTGTCTGATGGAATGCGGCTTTGGTTGAATATGATTTTGATTAGAGTGAGGTTGTGAGCTTCGTCGTGCGTGCGACGTCATGAGAGGCACTTACCACCTAGATTGTCGGATAAGCGCGCAATCAAGAAAAGCTTCTCTGACTCAACAGAAACTGTGCTATGTGTAGCCGTAGAGCTAGAGTATCTGTGGTATGGCTTGACCATAACGGCAAATGAATCATCTTTGAAAGCTGGGAAGGAAAGGTAACCGCTGATGCGACAGTTGTTATTTTAGTTGAAGCAGGTTGGCCGTCATGTCCGTTCTTATCCCATGTCTGGCACATGACCTGCTACGTGGTCGCCTCTCGCAGATTACTAGGGGTGGATAATGTAGACGTCTTCCAAAGATTCAGAATGACGAAAAGTACCGTGATATCTTCTCTGGCTATCGCTTCTCACAACGGCTGATGTCATAACAGAGCGCTCCTCGAAAGAATGCATCGGTCAGTGTGCCAGATGTCCACTACGCTACTGTCCTCAGAACCAGATGGCTGAAAAATATTATTATCAACTCTCCAGCAGCTGCAGTAAGCGCTGATAATAATGCTGAACAGTATGCCACAAAAAAGAAGGTGACCTGAGTACCCGTCCTCAAGCCTGTTCTATTTGGTCAGACGGATCAATGTGCAAGCAGTCAAGCAAGAGGGACTGTAGAGCACTTCCCCTTTCGATGTCGGAAGTGGGCGGGGCACCGGATGGAAACGCTGCAAATGTACCAACACCCACCGAGGCAGCATACCCTACTTCCTCGGAGGAAAATCGCCTTCAGGTCATCACCACTGGACTCCAAACTTAGAAGCGGTACGGGCCTCCATACAGTTTGGTATCGCCACAGGCCGACTCGACGCCGTTTGACCATGCAGACAAACACAAACCACCTCATGGCAGATGCGGTAGACGCGCTTCAGCTACTGAAGTTATGGCCATGATCACTTGAAAAAGCGCCTCCAAGCCAGCCTTCTAATGAATTGACTAACTCACGAGAACTCACTCCGATATTGACAGATGAGACGACATACGCTAAAAGTGGATTGGTGTGGGGTTTTAAGAAACGAGGCACATGTAAAGAAGTGTATCGTTAGTGGTAGTTGCCCTTTCAGCTTAGCTGCGGGACGTTATGAAATATGTGCGTCTGTGTTTAATATTCCCATTCCATGTGCTATATGTGACGAAAGATTTGAACCGCTTTGTGGCCTGGTCATTTCTCAACCTATAGTAGGCTCAGGCATTCGGGCGGACACAGGATAGCAGTCGAGAATATGTCAAGATCCAAACCCAAGCCCTTTTGAAAGCATTTTTACTCCCATTCAATTTCGCCCCTCTCTCCCTAAGAAAAGCTTCTGTTGCTTTCAAGTTGCCCATTTTCGGATTACCTGCGTAAACAAGATAAGACAATGGAGTGTCATTCTCATAGTCCATAGCGGTCCAACAATATTTTCGCAGCAGCCGGTGAACCGTGCTCAGCAGCCCAGGAAAGAGGTGTCCGGCCGTGCATGTCTCGCGAATCAATATTTAGGTTATTTTGGAGGAGGTAAAGAAGTAGGTGGGTACATTTTCCCATGGCAGCATAATGAAGGAGGGATTTTCTGAAGTGTCTCGTCTTTTCAGCGTTTGTGGCGATTCAAGCGATGTACGTGCCTTTTCGAGGAATTTCAAAGCATTCTCGTCCGCCTCCAGGATGTAATCGTTCCTCAGCCGGTCAAATTCGAGAGCGATATCCGCTGAGCAGATTTGCTGCTTCATGATGATGATGATGGAAAGAGAGAGAACGAGTGTTGCTTCGAAAATGCGCTTCATATAAGTTTGCCGCGAATCATTCAATATCCCGAGAGATGTACGCCACAAACTCGAAATTATCCAATCGGAGGAACATCATTTCTTGGTCTCGCCTTTGATTAGCATCCTCAGTTTCCGAATGGGATGGCCAACTTTCTTTTTTTGCACCTTCAGCCGTAGTCAGTGAGGCAGGGTTCAAATGTAAACACGGACAGTTTTCCACGATCAAATAGGTAGATTCGGCAACGCTGCATTCTCAGGATTAGCTGCGCTCGGTGGTCAGCAACATCTATCAACAGAAAATCCGCTTTTCCCAGCGCGGTTGACCTACAGAGCTGCACCTGAACTTGTAATCCAATGTCATCAAAGGGAGCCCTTTTGAAATGCTCAATACCCTCATAAATGTCTACCACCTTCAACCGTGTACCGCCGCTGGCTGGAGAGCATATACATCCCTGGTCTTCCATATCTTCCAGGTATATTATTCATGGACATTAATCTTATTTATAGTATCTGGCTGATTATAGCTCCGCATCGTGAGGTAAGTTACAGTTTTTGTAATTTCTGCGCGTGGGTTAAGCGATTTCTTCATTCATCAACCTTGGGGAGGAAATGGGAGGGTGGCAGAGCGGGGTCGGAGGTGGTGAAGCTGCAAAGAGCAACAAGGGCCCGTTTAAACGGGATCGTCAACCGTTCAGACAAGGTCATTGATCACATCTAATGTGCTATCATTTGCCACATGGTGTTTTTTTGGCAAATGGATGCGGCCATGATAAGAGACGAAGTGCGATGAGAGCACGTCGTGCTCCGTGTTCTTGTCCTTCGTTCGTTGAGAGCTCTATACGAATTTAGATACGTCATAGGTTAAACTATTCGACAGTTTTGAATGTGGAGCTGTTGATTCTATCCGAAATTGTAGTCGCCCCGGACCATGATGCTCTAGCGAAGGCAAGTGCCTTGTCACCAGAGAACGCGGCAGTTGCTCAACCTGACTGGCTTCACCGTCCTTGCTCAATCCTGCTACATATCACAGAGTCGCAGTTATTATACATGCGGTTGATTCCTCGAACCAGAGCCATAACGGATATTGGAAAGTTCATGCTCAAGGCATTCACAGCATTGCAAGTTATGGTACAGATTTACCACCAATTCTGGTAACTCGGAATCGTCCAACTTCGACAGGAGTACGGCTTTCACAGCTAACTTGAACGCGCATAAGCCATCCATCGAACTGGTACTGTACGAAATTGACAGACGTAGTAGAATATGATGCTGTGGATCAGTTAGTTCGTTAAGTAATCGTCCGCTAAGTCATCGTCCCTAGCGGTGATATGCAGACGACTACCCTACTATCGCTATCTGTCAAAATCAACCATGTCCCCGTGTTCTTTTCAGCGGGCTGCCATGCTTATCGGACCGCAACCCCTTGGGCTACTCTTACTTTACCACTCGAGGATACGAACTGTTATCTCATCTTAGAATACAGGATGTTTGAAGCAAGCAGTCAAATGATATGGATGCCGCAAGGAGCCATTATTTTGAAGTGGTTTGGCTGATTCGGACTCATTATTTCAGACGATACCGTTATTGGACAGGCGGTGGACCTGTTTTGATATAAAGCTGTTGCTGCTCAGGAACGATACCGCAAAACGAAAATAATTCCTGCCCATCTATATGAGTTAATTTCCAATCAACTCGAACCTCATGCTGTATATATATCTTCTTTGCATCCCATTGAAATACGATAAATCATGCTTCTTTTTGCATTACAACACTGAACAGTATCGGAAATATCCTCTAAATATCTTCTAATTGTTACCTTGGAATGTCGGGGATTGACAATTGATTACAGGGCTTTGGAATACAGTATGGAGGAACAGGAGCGGTGGAATAAAGAGATAAAACAGGCTGTAGATCGGCTCTAAATTTCCCAGTAGCCGACACTAACAACTGTAGGGAGGACAATGACCCGTTGAAAGCAGCAACCGACTGAGGTATGATCCTCGGAGGATGAGGATGGTGTGGTACGTATTAGGATAGGAAAGCTGTTTAGATTGAGAATCGATGCGCTTCATTGACCAGCTGCCCGCTTTCAGAGATCTCTTGTTTCCCGTCTTATTGAGCCAGAGAAGGCGGTGAGAGACAATTGGGATAGCATTTATAGAGTTGGCATCACTTGAGACTTTCGGTTGTGTCCTCGTGCAGACGCATTGGATGCGCACGCCATTAATTAGAGCCGGCTAACCTATTTCTGATCTCTCTCAGCGTCTTTGAGTTACCTGACTTCAATGCATAGTCCACTGCTCTCTCTCCCTTAACATCTTCAAGTGTGAGGTTAATATTTTTTCTACTCAGCAAGCCCATGGATATTTCGTCGTTTCCCTCTTCTATAGCGAGCATTAGCGCTATTCGACCAGCATTATCTTGGTAATTCACATCGATATGATCCTTTTTTAGGAGTTCAGCCACAACTGTGGTTCGCTTAAGTACGATTGCCCACATCAGTGCACTTATAGTACCCAAACAGCAGTTGACATTGATGTTGGGTGCGCATAGCAACCGAAGACAGTTTTCCTCATTGTCTCTGAACACTGCGCAGAGTAATGGACTTGGGTAACCGAGGTTTTGGTTGTTAACATTCACACGCTCGTCACACAAGAGCATCTCCAGTAATTCCAATGAACCTCTGGCTGATGCATTTGCCAGGGGTGAGAAACCTTCAGAAGCTAAATTAGGGTCTAGCCGTGTGTCATCAAGAAGCTTCTTTACAATCTCTTTGTTCCCCCTATCGACCGCATAGAAAAACGGCGTTTGGCCTTGGATATCGGTCATATTAACATCAATATCGTTGCACCGTAGCAGGATGCTAAGCAGACGACAGTCATCATTCGATGCTGCATAAGACAACGGTGTGCGTCCCACGGAGTCTGTCACATTAACGTCCATACGACCATCCAGCGAATGCAGCGTCTCTTGAAAAATATGCGATAGTACACAGTCTTCTGGAGTTCTGTACTGGATTAACTACCAAGTCCACATTAGCCCATGAAGAGTCAGAACCAGAAGAGCCCAGTCAAGTATGGCCCGGAATTTACTTTATAGGAGAGTAGGTCAGAGCTCTTGTCTCAGGGGGCGTATCAAAGCAATGTTGGATTATAATTGCTTTTGCGTCCATATTTAATTCGACAATATAGTAAGGGTATGTATTACCAACACCAAGAAAGATGTTTATACATATATATAAATCAGGAACTGAGCAATTGATTACAGGTTACGAAGAGTCATGGGTCACAGCACAAGGCGCAGCACATACCATCCGATGCTCTAGTATCCATGAGACATATTATTACTATCGTTGTCACCACAGTGACGACCCTTGGATCGGGAAGGATTCTTGGGCGTAGCCAAATCACTAGATTGACAAGGCCCGTGACAATGTAAAGCTCGGCGAGCACTACACCGTCTAAGCGAGACAGCAGCGACTGGTCAATACAACAGTCGTCGTGAAGAAGGTAGAGAACCAGACATAGACTGACCCCAAAGAGGATCCCGTTTCGAACCAGCACAGGGTACCGCGGATCAAAAAACAACAGGAGGTCTTTCATCACATGAACGAAACACGTGAACTGGTTCAAACAGATGCCCAGAGGTAAGAGGGATTCCGCGGATTCGGATCTTAGATGCTAGAGCGGGTGAGTATGGCGCACAAATTCGGACCTACATGTCTAACGTACCTGAACCCACGTCGTATCCATGATACTATACGTTTTGCGTTAGAGAAGTACTTGTGCAGGGGCCAAATGGCCTTCTGTTATGACCTGGCTGGGCGGTTGAAGTATGCTCTTCAGCGTACCCCTAGTTAGCGAAGGTTCAAACCACGGCGTCGGACGTGGGTCTAATCTAGCAGCTCAACTATAGATATATGCATGCATGGGTGAAAAGGCGGATTCTACAGCATTGGTTTTGGAAGATGTGTTGGAACGAAAAGCCTCGGGGCTTAGAATGGCTCATAGGAGAACCGAGTGGTTGAAAGAGCAGCGAGCAGATCCTGTCGGACTCAGAATGGGTGTTTCATGGTAAAAAAGGCTCTCTTGATAGATCAGGTTGTTGTGAGTCACCCATCGCTGAAGAACCCATCAGGTCGATTTGGTAGAAACATCGCATCCGACGATGGTCAACGTGTGGATGGGCAACAGTGTGTTGACCCTGTTGATGATCAATGACTTTCTGACCACAGTACAGTCATAAACCACCGTGCTTCTGTGGCTTAACCTACTATATTACTGAATCTAGGTTAGCTTAGCTAGATGGCCGGGCTTTTGAGGGAACGCTCTTGTTGGAAGCTCCCGTACTCGGGAACCAGTCGAATGTCAACCTCGGTCATATCAACGAGACTGAGCGCGCGTTTTCTATGAAGGCAATAATCAACGTCCCAAACTTCCCTCATCTATCATTTGAGCAGGATACAGGTTCCAAAACTGACCAGCCTGGGCTGTGTTCAACTGAAACCACAATATCCCTCCCAAGTACGCGAACGGTCAACTTGACTGATAAGATTGCCCGTTCGTTTTGACGGGCTTTCACTCTGCCTTGACTAGCATCATCATACGGCGTCACGCTGAATAGGGTCCGCCGAAGTTATAGGCGACCGTCTGTTACTCATCCAAAGGTGGTGGAAGCCTCTTTAGGTGCCGGGTCGCGGTCTATTGTAAGTCCCACCCGGGGAGCTGGATGTTCTGCTGACCAAGGGCAGGGCAACCGGGACCGCGAACAAGCTGGTGGGAAAATTTCGCCGGGTGGGCATGGTCAATTAACCAACTATACCGTCTTGAGAACGGGAACGTACCGTGAGAATCTGCGGGGACATTGATTGGTACCTGTTCGCAGAGCAAAATTCTCCGGGCGGCTAGTATGCTGTTCCTAATCAGGTAAAGTACCTCACTACCGCTTGATGTCAAAGTACCCGGTCTATATAAAGTCACCTTCATGGATCCATTAAGGACAGCCATCTTTCATTCCACAGCATTCGTAACAATCTCTGTCTCAAAGCATTATACAGTAACGGATTGCCATTTGATGTGACTTTTCATGTCCTACGCTTCGCTAGTTCTCTTACTGGAGTGAGAAGGCTGACCTCCCGGTGTGAGGCCGAGTTAATACCGCCAGGCCCAGTGAGGATTAGGCATTGTTGGGCTAGAAGATGTTTCAATGGTACCCTCGAGTCTTTCTTGCGGGTATTGGTCTGCTGAAGTGGGAGTTGGAGCAAGCCTGCGTACACACCAAATAACAACAAAAGCTCGTTTTGACTTGTTGCCACGAAATAAAACTCGTACGGTTTAGGAGGTGCAGCTACAGGTAAGCGACCAAGTTTCTATAGATTTTTTGTCCTTGGTTCTTCAAAGGTTGGGCAGGATGCATCCTCCACGATTTGGGTGGGGAACGTATCCCGTTTCTTCTAGCAAGAGTGGCCTGTGGAATTCCCACTGCACAGCTTCTTCTCCATCGCTTCTTCAACAGTATGCTGGTAGCGAATCTATATATTAGTCCGGACCTCCTCCGGCGCTCTGGGCTTAGGAGGGTGTTATTCAGCTGCTTGATGGCGTTGGTGGTCATAATCGAGATGTGACCTTCCCGCGCAGATACGTCATCAATACCCGTTAAGCAGAGCAGACGGAGCGACTCCGTTGGAGGGTGATTTCACTGTCAGCTTCCATTTCACCGTCTTGTTCGCCTTCGGAAATCCCGCGAATACTGTCGGAGACATTAAATCGATGTGTTCATGATAAAGCGACTCAAACACAATGGCCAGATCATGTTTCTCAATGCTCACCGCAACGGCCTCTATCGCAAGAGCAACGGGTAGGCGTTGGTCCCCATTTGATGGTCATCCACTGACGAGAGAGACGTCACACTACTCGGGACCCCAAGCGATAGCATGGAACAAATTGGCTGCCAAATGTATCGGCGAGATGAAGTACTTGTCGGCAAGTCCACAGCAAGGAGGCACCCTCGTGGTGTATTTATAATAGAGGGAAGTACGGACTTTTCTCCACTTGTCGACGAGCTCCGTTGGGTACTAACTGCATAGTGTTGAACTCTCAAAGGCTAGATTATACAGTAGCGTCGTTACACAAATCAGCAGTCAATGACAGAGGTAAGCCAACTCACTGTATTTGGAAAGCGTATGTACTTGCTCACTAATTTCTTGGTTGTACAATTTCATCTCAGCAAGATAGTACAATGGAAGCATCCTCTACAGTACCTATATAAACGGATTGTGAGTATCGAGAGTGATGCAACTGAAGTAGTTGACTCCACTAGTTAAGGATTGGAAGGGGCATCGAACTTTTCTAACTACTACTACAGCAAATTTAGGTATCATCGAACCAGCGCATTTTGCGGGGACAACTGAGCCTAAATCGACGTATATTGCTGCCTGAGGCACCTATGAACACCGGCCGTAGGGGGTGAGTAAGCTGGTAAACAACCCGACACGCAATTCTCTCCCGACTCTATTCCCCGCGCCGGATAGAGCCTCCTCCGCTGTTGAGTTGCTTTCGCTCGATTATCGGCCGAGTAACTCTTTCGAAACGGGATGGAGGAAACAATAGCCGAATTACGACGTCAGATTGAAGAACAGCAAAGGCTGCGAGAAGCGGCAGAGCGCCGTGAGGAGGAGGAGAGAAAGGCGCGAGAAGAGGCAGAACGCCGTGAGGAGGAAGAGAGACAGGCGCGAGAAGAGGCAGAACGCCGTGAGGAGGAAGAGAGACAGGCGCGAGAAGACGCTGAACGTCGAGTGCAACCCAACTCCCTGTTTCGCCTCCTCGATCGCTGCCACAATTCTCTCTCCCAAGCGATCCGAGTTGAGCCAGATGCCACCCTTACTACTCAGGGCGACGCGGCCGATCCAGTGAACCGACTCTACCCCAAGCACATCATCCCTTGGCGTGCCTTCCCCCAACAACAGGAACAGATCTGGGACAAATTCGACCGTAATGATGCCTTTACCATGCGCCCACTATTCCCCTCTGATACCCAAATCGATTATGTCGTCACGAATATCCAGAACAGACCAATCTATTCGGAAGCGTCTCTTCGGAATTTTGAGCGAGACACGGTGGACAACTTTGTTGAAAAGGTCATTGAGGTTTTGCGAGACGATGAACCCCTTCGAGATGAGTTTGGAATCCAAGGCCGAGTCACCTTCTATGATCGCGCAAACCCGTCGGAAACTTCGCTCGAGAACAGCCTAGAGCAAATGAATCCCGAGGACGCGCGGACACCCCAACGACCGGCGAACACGAGGCGTGGAAGAGGCCGAGGACGAGGAAGAGGAGCCGCGCGGAGACAGACGAGGGATGGCACTGCGCGACGACGCAATCGGCGTGCCGACCAGTTCTGCGTGCACCTTGTGGCGGATGAACGGCAAATACCCGTGTATGCAGTGGAGTTCAAAGCGCCACACAAAGTGACCATCCCCGAACTGGTGGCGGGTCTACACCCGATAGATCTGGATCGCGATGTCATTGACCAAGAGGGCGACACGTTTGAGTTTTATGCCACCCGCCTGGTCGCGGCCGTGGTCACTCAGATATTCTCATACATGATCGACAGTGGCGTTCGATACGGCTACATCTGCACCGGGGAGGCGTTCGTTTTCCTTCATATCCCGAAGGATGATCCCACCATTATCCAATATTTCTTGTGTATCCCGAATCAGGATGCGCAGGCGGATGTGCAGGCGGACGATGAAGTGCGCCTCCACCGGACTGCCATCGGTCAGGTGCTTTCGTTCACGCTTCAAGCGCTGGCCGTCGAACCTCCGACTCAGAAATGGCACGATATGGCACACGACCAGCTAACAACCTGGAAGGTCGAATATCTCGACGTGTTGAGAGAAATCCCCGAAACTCTCCGTAAAGACCCGCCGGCGTCTAATTATCGGCCCTCTCACTGGAAACCAGATCGGAAAATACACCACACACGCGCTCGCGCTCGCGCGCGTTGTCAACCGGGCGCAGCTACACCGAAGCATTCGTCCACTGAAGGTAGCGGCAGTGATCAAGAATCGCATTCGCCATCCGCCGCAGCCGCGTCGCGCATCCGATCGAGCCGCGGCCAAGGCAACCACCGCCAATCAACCCGGGGAGGTGAAAGGACACGAGCCGGCCGAGACCATAAACAGACCTCTCGGCAAGACGGAAATTCTACGCGACCATACTGCACCATGGCCTGCATCCGCGGCTTGGCTAACCGAGAACCACTGGATAAAAGTTGCCCCAACTGGAAACTCCACGGTGGTCCAAGACACTCCATCGGACCGCAGGAGTTCACACGTCAGCTCCATCGTCAACTGGCCCGAGATCGGGAGCTTGGATTCGAACAGCTACACGTGTGTGGTC